CATTTATCCAGTTCTGCGAACTTTCCGCTCTACCACCGCTTATAACTCATAGAATGGCCGAATGGTTTGAAGTGAGAGTCAGATACGCAACAGCCAGAGAACAAACGTATCCAGGCTTCATTGAATCTTAGGTTTTTTTGGTTAACAACAACGACAAAAGGGTGTGGCTGTTACACATGCCGTCAAGTGATACGCGACTTCTGATGACTCATTAGTAAAATGGTTGGTCATGAGTTAGTTGAAATGACCGTTCCTGCTGCTTGTCGTAACTTTGGTCAGTTGGTCACTATATTGAGCATGTCATTTTTATTACAGTAAGGTAAACCTGGCCGCAATATTCATTCGCGAAAAATTAGAGCAGCAAAGGAGGGGGCACAAGTGTAAGTGAAATTCACCACCGTCATACTATTTCAAACTATGACTTCATTGTGAGCGGCGATAAGATTGAACGACTCTATTCGCTAGAGCACAGAATGGAACAGTTGAACAGCCAAGTAATTTATTTATTTGACTGCTTCTCTACCGAAGAGTGGTAAGTTGGGCTAGTTGGTAATGTTCCATAGTGAAACTGCGCAAAAAAGTCCGGAAAGACAAAAGGAGAGAAAAGGACAGGCAAATGCAGACTATCAGCTGAAGCGCTATTGCAAGAACGAGGCAATATAAAGGACAAGACAAAAAGTACGAGGGGGCAAAGGAGGAGGAAAAAAAAAAAAGAGAAGAGGGACCAAATAAACGAAGACCCAGGCCGCATCAGCCATAGCACGCCATTCGTACAGGACCAAGATAGCAGCTCTTTATCATGTAAGGCAACAAAGAGAACACTGAGGCAAGACTCAGATTCCTTGTGAATGTGCGCGGCCTCAACGGGTTCGCGCATTCTTTAATTCTTATGTCACAACAATACAGATCTATTGCTAAACAACGGTGCGCAGCAACACTTCTTACAGTGGGCTGTTGAATGAAGACCGAGGTGGGCTTCGGTCTTCCCAAATTCGACGAAACGGGCCTACAACATTTTCGCTCTCCATCGAAAATGCAGCCGCCGCAGCGGGGATTTGAGCCCGCGACCTGCGGGTGAGCAGCCGAGTACTTTCACCACTAGACCACCACGGCGAGGAATTCCTCACTTTCTTACTATTCATGATTTACACCTCCTGAGACATTTATGCCTTTCAAAATACTGAGTTCAACCTATCCGCAGCCTTCAATATTAAGAGCACACGTTTTGCTTCGTAGGCTGCACGACTAACTGCAGCATTAAGAAGAGGTAATGGTCGCTGGGCGCCCGGTCTGGGCTATATGTGTGAATGATCGTTCCCCTTAAGCCGCAAACCACTTCACTGAGCCTCAGCCGCGCTTGCCGCCTGTGCGGCTTAACTGTCGCTAAGCAGGCGGACGCCACGATGTAAATGCCGCACGTCGTATCTTTTACCGCATCTCATGCAATTCACATAAACGCGCGCGCGGATCTGAAACTGATACGCAAGCCTTCTAATAGATGGCGCTACATGCCTGAGTAGGGCAGCCGTGTCTGAAATTTCCGCCAGTTTTGTATGTTGAACCGGAAACATGAAATTGGTCGTACGTCAGTGCACTAACTCGCAATCTTGTTTCCCTCATATGCTTTTTGTGTCGCAAAAGTGCCACCTCGTGAACAGAATGAAAATTACAGCCTATCCACGAGGTGAATGATGACGAGTGGGGCGAAGCTCTCTTCAACCCGCTCTCGTTGTAATACGAGTGCGCGTGCGTAAGACCAACGAGGAATTGGCATACGTCAGCGCCTCGTTCACGACGCCCGGAAGCTCAACATCGTTCAGCAGTACGAGACCAGACTACCCGAAATAGAGGCAAGGACGGACGGATGGACAGATGCATGAACGAACGCACGGAAGCACAGACGGACTGAGAGGCGCTTCGCGCCACTCATCATCATTCATTCTGTGGATACGCTGTGACACCGTTTTTATTGACATGCAATGCAGTGCAACTGGCTACTATGACGACTACGACGACACGGGATGTACGACCCACAGCATAAGGAGCGTTACCCCTTAAGCCTTTCTTTCTGACAGTCGTTGAAGTCCCGTTCATTCTGATTTTTGTCAAGATAGACACGTACACGACTCTTTTTTAACTGCGCAATACTTTTGTGCCCGTACTCTAGCTTAGTTTGTGAATGACTTAGCAGAAATTTTATTACATTAGCGTAGACGTATTCACTACCTCACAGTTGCGCGTTTGGCGTAAGAAAACAGAGAAACAGATGAAAAGGACGGCCCGGGACGTTAACCAGGTATTAGCATCCGGTTGGCTACCTTGCACTTGGGTGGGAAGTAGGAGAAATAAAGAGGGTGTAGAGAGAGAGAGAAAAAATAAAAGGAGAGCACATGCGTTTTCCTTTTTGGGATGTAAGGAAAGTTGCAACAACAGTGTGGCGGCTCTCTGCTTGTCGTAAACGCTATCGCGTGGTTATTAGAATATTTATTTTCGTAGTCGTGGCTCTAGCAAGATTCCAAGACATCGATATTCTTTGAAAACGACTGCCAGCCCCAAGCTGACGTGGCCAGTGCTAGACACAGTGTGTGTTCAAGTATTGCTCAAAACGGAAAATTTTCTTATGAAAACAAACACCAACATGGCACACTCTCATAGCTTAATGGCTGCCGGTTTGTTTAATAACAATAGATACCGAACACACGTCGATAATGATTACCACAATAACTAAAATCAGGATGCTGAATAAGTAAATTTAGTTTTCGTTTCAAGGTAATGTTTGAAATCGAATTGATCACAGTGGGTGCCTCACGAAACGGGGTGGTTGAGACCACTCCTGTTTCTGTTGCTTGCCCGAACAAAATGCTATTAAATGTAGTGAGCGAGATAATAGGACGGATGCTATTTATCAAATTGAAGAAAAAAGCATTATTACACCGGAAACCGTGGGCCGCAAACGAAAGGTCCACGGGCCACGTGTTTGAGACCCCTGTTCTAAACGTATGGACTCGGTGAACAAGCTCTACGATCGCGTTTTTAAACTCAGTAGTTCCACGGTGTGGTTAAGTGTAGTTAACTTCTCAAAAATTAGTTGATCCCGCGTGTCGGTCCTTCCCCCTTGCAATGTCGTTGCAATTATTAGGTCATGTTGTCGGTCCTTCCCCCTTGCAATGTCGTTGCAATTATTAGGTCATGTTGTCCGCACACTTAGTCACCTTCAGCTTCGCCTTCTCGTTCCGGTATGGCGAAGAAAAACATAAACTTTGCCCGCAATACAAACACTGGCGAAAAACTGGCGCGTTCCTAAGCAGAAGCGTTTAAACCAATAAGATATCCTGAGCCCATGTTAGGGGCATTTAGGATTCAAAGGACAGGCAACCAATTCTCATGGTACGTGTTTTGTTAAGCGAATTGGATAGTTTAGTGGTCAGACCGTCTAATCACACAATGGTGACACGGAAAAAACGCGTCAGACGTTCATAAACAAAATTTTTGGTCTCTGGCTATTATGAAGTCGTATCATATGCTGCAAGCAGGCGAATGTCAGTGCCAGAGCTATCCCGGCTGCGGCGGCTGCATTTCTGATGGAGGCGGAAATGTTGTAGGCTCGTGTGCTCAGATTTGGGTGCACGTTAAAGAACCCCAGGTGGTCGAAATTTCCGGAGCCCTCCACTACGGCGTCTCTCATAATCATATGGTGGTTTTGGGACGTTAAACCCCACATATCAATCAATCAATCAGTGCCAGAGCGCTTCGTGCATGGTGGTCTGCGTCACATGCACGCTCTCCGCAGGCATGCGCCGCGACTCGATATGTACCACTATTCACAGCGGAGGCAACGCCGATTTCGAGGGTGCAACATTTTTTACCTGGCACGCAGAATAGGTTTATTCATATGACTGATTGATATGTGGGATTTAACGTCAGAATAGACTGGGATGGAAAATAATACATATATCCCACTTTTTGGCAGCTAACTACGCCACGAATGGAAGACCCTGACTATTTTATGTGCGCATAGCAAACTAAACGACTCCATAATCCAGCGTGGTGTCTCTCTTAATTATATGGTGGTTTTCGAACGTTAAACCCCTCATATCAATCATTCCAGCAGCTTCAAGGTGACATGCCAATTTTCGAGACTCTTAAACGCGATCTAAAAGTACAACTCTGATTTATTGCGTGAAAATATTGCTTGAATCTGTCGTTTTAATTAGCCGTCTTTTCATTTCCTTAAGGATCTGATTACACGTTCTGGTCAGCTGCAGGTCAAGTCTAAAGCGTTGACGGAGACAGACGAAATTATCTAGTTCGCGCGGTGTTACGACAAGCACTCACGAGGACAGAAGAACCGATCACTCCCTAGGTCACCGAAGCAAAATTTTGTGGTATTTAATAGCAAACTCCCACGTAAGATACTTTGATTTTTTAATCACGGAGGGCCAGAATTAATGGACTTTCCGACCGCGGGTCCTTGTTCACCGGGGCTCTTGCATTACACGCCATCGAATGGCGGACAACGTGACGCGCAATCAATTTCGATGGACCGTGCGATGTCATATTGCGTGTTAAAAAGGGACGGTCATATTATAATATATGCATCAATCAAAACCGCTTCTTTGCAATCAGAAGAACATAATTGTAGCCACTCAGTTGCCACGGCAAGTATATAAGAAGAGGACATGTATGAAGTTTAGCGACCTTTCGCGGTACCAGCAGTTAAAGACTAGATTGATTGATTGATTGATATGTGGGGTTTAACGTCCCAAAACCACCAATGATTATGAGAGACGCCGTAGTGGAGGGCTCCGGAAATTTAGACCACCTGGGTTTCCTTAACGTGCACCCAAATCTGAGCACACGGGCCTACAACATTTCTGCCTCCGTCGAAAATGCAGCCGCCGCAGCCGGGATTCAATTCCGCGACCTGAAATAAAGACCAGTGCCGATCAGTGCAACCACATTGTTTGTCAGAATTTCGTAAGGGATATGCTCACGACAAAATGGCGCAAGAGTTGGAAAGCAAGCGCACCATTGAAGCGCTTCCAGGCTTTGTCCTTAATGACTGTCACCGGGCACGTGGGTGACCCGTGAACCGGAAGTAGTTCGCGGAAGTAAATTGGCGGTGTGTCCGACCTATGGCGATCGCGACTGGTATAAGGTGGTGCGTTCGATTTCGCCCCGGTAACTCATAGCAATTTTCGCCGCTTATCGCGTACTCGTTTTACCAAAGTGTTTGTTCCCGATTGCTTCGCCGGAGAGCGTTTACAGCTTTTGAAGAGTGTGGGTGCTGTTGTGACCCATTCGACGAATTGCAGAACTAGGTACTCCAGGGCTTCAGTTGAAAATCTCTGGTTCTTTTGTCGAGTTTCTTATTGAATTGAATTCAGTTTATTTTCTAACAAGTTCGCGAGAATTGCCAGGCAGAAAAAAAGCTACATTGAGTAGCTTGAGAGGAATCTGACCACCACATACTCCGGGCTCTTTCAGAGTGGTCGAAAAGAAGTATACGCCATGTGCATGATGCATCAACCAAACAAAACAGTAAAAACAGTAAACAACCATGGTCAGTAATAATGAACAAAGTTACGTGGAGCTAGGCTACGAAAGAAGCCTATGGTTATAAAGCTGCAAGTCCTAAGTACCTCTTTCAAACGCGAATAGTTGACTCCAGAGTAAACTATCGTGCCTGTTGTCATGGTGTCTGCGAGCCACGCACCAGAGAGTTTTCTCATCCGGAAAATTCTAGATAGAACGTGTTCTTTATTGCTCACCTTCTATACTACGTGTTAACCGGTAATGGTACCACGAAATAACTGTGGTATAGTGGAGTCAATTTTCCAAAGGCACCTCAGGTTGGCTGCAAGCATCGCTCATATTTCTGATTTTCCCTCTTGTGGAACTACACACGATTGCGAAGAAAATAAGTGAGGAAAAAAAAAAACAAGTGACATAGAGAAACGAAGGAACAGCGGTGTGCTCTTTCGAATTGTTTTCATTGCCTTGATACGATTGAACAATACGTTCTTTGTATGACCTCAGAGAAAGTAACGTAGTAAGTAAGAAGCAACATAAATTAGTAGCAAAGAAAAATTGGCGTAATGTTTGAGTTGAAATATCCGACTTTCAAACAAAGCAATGATGAGCAGTAAGCGTGAAATTCATAAATAATAATTCAAATTTGGGGTTCTTGAGTGCCGAAAGCACAACGAGTTTGAAAAACACGCCGTAGTGAGAGACTTCGCGTTCTTTTAGATGCGGAGCATCTTATACTCGCGCCTTGTAGTGCGCCGTCCGCACCGCTTCTCGAACATTCGACAGCTGACGCGCGCGCATGCGCCGTCGCGCCGTCGCCCACTCTTCCACCATCTGTGCATCCCTTCCTCCTCTACACACCGCGCGCGCTTCACTCCTCCACCATCTGTGCACCCTTCCTCCTCTACACACCGCGTTCGACATCTACAATTCTCCTGATTCTCCAGTGGACGCGCATGTGGCGTCGCGCTTCGAGAACATTCAACAGCTGACAGTGCAGGCGCCGTCGTGCTGTATATATACTCAAGGTCGGCGCTCGCTCGCTCAGTTGCCGCTCGTCGGTTGGTTTGTACGGCGCGTCGACGTCCAAGGTCGCGGTGAAATGAATTCCAACGAATCCACAAACACAATGATCGACGTCCCTTCGACCAGCGCCGCCCTTTCGCATACGTGTGTACGTGTTCAGTCATTTAACACCCCCTCCTACAACCACGTTAACCAATTTAGCCATCGACCCAAGTAAGTCGCAATTTAACACCCCATTTCACAACCACGTTAACCAATTTAGCCATCGACCCAAGTAAGTCGCACTTTAACACCCCGTTAACCAATTATATGGTCCGCATCCTCCTCAGTGTTCCCCCGAGGGAAGCTGCGGGCAATTTTTTTGACCACCTGACGTTCTTCTGTAGTGTGAGCCCAAACCTTTGTTTGCATTCGGTTCATTGGATTTCTACCTATTAAAGGTGGCCGCCGTGGCCGCTGATCATAATACACAAGTCTTCAAGATGAGAAGCATTACGCCTGAACCACTAAGCTACCGCGGAGAGCCTAGGCGTGCGTGTTGATTCATTGATGTTGATGACAGCAACTGCTGCTGTATTTCGCCTACACGCACTTTGTTTTCATAGAACTGGTTAAAATACACAACTTTTGCGTCGTCATTTTGTACGGTTGGCCCACAGATTGCGCCACAACCAACTTGTCATAGAGCGTCTCCATAAAAGCCACGTTGCTCATATCAAGTTAACTAAATAGAGAATTAAACATCTTGCGGTGTATCTTCTGAGGAAGAACAAAAACTAGAGAAAAGGGAATAGTTCTAGAAGCATAAAAAAAGAAACTTTCCTTCCAAATATGATGCGGCACTGAAGCATTACACGCAGAAAAGAAAGGAATGTTAGAGAAAGCAAGGAAACATGTAAAAGTGTATTGTCAAGCGTAATATAATTAAGCATTACTGGACAAGTGCATCACTGCACTTGTAAAATGACACATATTAGTAAAACACTAGCTATGAGTGCTCCACGCTCAAGCATAAACGAAGAAAACAATTATAGACGGGGTACAGTGGGGTTTCCGAAAAAGGCAAGATTAGATTAGTAATAGTAACCGGACATAGTTTTATTCAGTAAAGAGAAAGAAAAAAGAATAGGAAAGGCAGGGAGGTTAACCAGATGAGTGCCCGGTTTGCTACCCTGCACTGCGGATAAGGGGATGGGGATAAGGGGGATGGGGATTAAATAGAGGAAGAGAAGAGAGAAGGAGAGCACTTTAAGCACAAATATGTACAGTCAGTCGGTCACTGAGGCCGGGAACTTTTTTGACCAACATGAATTCACCATCGAGACATACGACAGGGAAATAGTGGGCCTTGGAGAAGGTGATGGACGATCCGTGGGGACTAGTGAAGCGCTGAAAACACTGGATTGAGAACCTCCAGCAGTGTCAGGGCCGTTTTGGCTGACGGAGTATTTGGCTATTTCAAAAGCATAAATATGGAGCCTCTAAGATATTGTAGCGTCTCAGGGATGTCCTGGTCTTTCTCAGGCATGGCATGGTTAACTAGTGCTGTCGTTGACCCGGTCAATGTTCGCTCAGTCTGCTGCGACCGTTCGATTCGCTGTGAATTGCACGCCGGCTTTGACTGTGGTTGTGGTCCTGGCTGTAGTTTTGGCTATGGCTGCAGCTTTGGTAATGATGGCCAATTATCAGTGTCCATATGCTTTGTTGCGGTCCTGTCCTCATAACTTGGCGCGGACACGTATGGTCTAGGAACCAAAGGAGGTCGTGTCACCTGTGAACGACGTGTCACAGAGTTCCTTGAACCACTACAGTGTCGGGAGTGCCGCATGCTGACGACAGCAACAGCTTCCCGACAAGACGACCGGTCTCGCACCATCTGCTTAAGAATGTCGTTTCGTTCCTGTGTCTTGGAGCAGTCATTTGACGAAGCGTCGTGGGACCCAAAGTAATTGCAGCACTTGAGTACCGTGGCGGCGCTGGAGTTTGTAGCGTAGTGTAGAGCGAGCGCATTATCGTGCTCTGACAAACGGCGCTCATGTGTCCAAACCTCAAACATTTGTGGCACTGAAGTGGCCTTGGAATAAACGGTCGTACAGGATGCCGAGATTGGCCCACCTTGAGATGCAAAGGCAGAGATTCTCCCTTGAATGTTAGTTTTATACAGCGAGATGTGCCCATGCGAGACTTAGGTATGATATTGATAGCATCAGCCACTCGTTTCACAAGACTGGTCAAGTGTGTGTTCGAAACAGAAATGTCGACAGCCTGGATGACACCAGTAGTGGTACCACTGTTCAATGGGATGTATGAGCGAACTTTTATGCCATAAAATTCCGCAATTTTGCTCAGTGTGGACAGTGTAGTGTCATGAGCAACGTCTATATATCAAGAACATTTTTTCGTGAGTTGAGTCTCAAGTCTGTTCCTTCGTTTGGCACCACCGCCTCGATAAGCACCGAGACCGGTTGTCTGTTGAGTTGCCTCAAGTTATCGGTAGCAAAGCTCTGGTAGAAAAATAATCGTACTGACTGCGGTCTTCTGAGTAGTTGTCACGGTAGACTTGCTTGAAGCCAGGGGATCAGTGACGGCCGGCACAAACCAGATCACCATGAACACAACTGATGCAACTTGGACTCCATTGCCGAAGTCGCAGGGACATGCGGATTCACAGCGAACCTCGGCAAGAGTGAAACCCGAGTCTTTGATTTGCAAGTTCTCAAAAGAATACAAATTATTCCTGATAGTTCTTCGATTTCTGTTATACACACTTCGAGTGTTCGTCGGCAGGCGGAAGTCACCACACGATGAGTCTGCACAACAGGTACTGGATGTTCTACATCCAGGGCTTGCAAGCTTTTCGTGAGCACCATGACCCGACGATATACAGCGGAACGTGTTATGCCTGAAGCCCTGCGTCCACTACTGTCGATCGCCGCAGTAAGCTCGCGTGCCCCCTTTTCAGTTACTTTCGTTCTATCTCTCCATCTTTTTGTCTAATCCCCTGCCCTCAGCGTAGGATAGCGAACCGAACGCTCGTCTTTTCAACCTTCCTGCCTTTCCTCTTCCTCCTCAGCGTCTTCTTTGGCACATATAAGGTAGAAAAGACAATCCTTTCGGGTGATACAAGCACGCGATCTTGCGACAATGGAGGAAATGCAAGGGTTTCCTAGAAGTGGCATCTTTTCCTCATTGTTTCAAAGAGTGGTATGGAGGCAGCTACACAAATCTTTTCGTAGTAGCACATAGGCGTTGGAAAGCGGCCAGCCAAATTAACCATTTCATGCAGGTGACCATCAGCTCTAACCGGTTTGCTGAAAAACAGGGGCTAGTAGGGCACGAGTTTTATGCTACTGCTCTGCAGATTTGGTTTGTGTGAACGCTTTGCTGTGGTAATAAATCAATCATTAAAAAAACTAATTTATTACTGACATCACCACAGCGATGTTCTTCCACAATTTCTTCAGGAGTGGACAATTTGAGTGTGGAGTGGGAGGCGGGGGTGGCGAAATATTAAGCCT